TTCTGTTACTGACTCTTCAGGCTTTTTTTCTTCCTTGACTGACATTTTGCAACATACACGCAAGACAGGAGAACCACCGTGCACTAGGAAAAAAAGGCTGTGTGGGCAGAAGGAATACCTCAATCTGCAGGAGCTCCCGGCGGCAATTCTTCAAGAGGTTTCGGATCTGCTCTTCCATCCGTTCCAGCAGCAAATTGATGTCCTCCGCTTGCCTCCTGAGATCCTTCACATACTGGTCATCTTTGCTCTTCAGCTCCTAGAAGGCAGAAAAGGCAAAGTTCAGAAGAAAAGAACCCTGTTTCCCCGAAAATAAGCCCTAGTAGGATTTTTCAGGATGCTCATCATATAAGCCCTACCCCCAAAATAAGCCTCTGTTAAGTGAAACCCCCACCCTCCACCCTTGAGCAGCAACCAGAAGAAAAGGACATGACTGTATTTGTATAAAAGTAGATTGTTGTACATGAAAAATAAAACATCCCCTGAAAATAAGCCCTAATGCGTTTTTTGGAGCAAAAATTAATATAAGACCCAGTCTTATTTTCGGGAAAACACGGTAGCTGTGTGATTGAAATGGAAAAACAAAATTCCTCCTTCAGTTCTCTAGTCATTTACTAAAACATTAAGAACAATGGCAATGCTTTGGGGAGCGGGGGAATGCATCCAAAATCCAGGAATTGGGGGCTACATAGAGATGATGGGCTACGTGGTGCCCATCTGTGTCCCAGGCCTCAGGTGCTCCCGGAAGATGAGATCCCTCTGAAGGACCTGCTGGGCAACTGCTAGGTGACGGTAAGCTTAACCCCTTCAAAGCTCTTTGCTGCTGATTCCAGGCCCTCCTCGCCCTCCTCTCTGCCCCTCCACGGGCGGTGATCACCTGCTGCAGCTCGCTGATGAGCTTGTTCTTCTCCTCGATCAGCAGGGCGCACAGCAGCTGCTGCTGATTGAGCCTGTCCCAGAGGTCTTGGGGGATCGTTTTCTCCTTGGCCGCCGCCCACTTGGAGGTGATCTCCTCAAACTTGTCCTGGTTACCCTTGGCTTCGTTCTCCAGCTTCTCGACCCTGCAAAGCAGCCGGGGGGAGAGAGAGTTCCGTCAAGGCGAGCTTCTGTGAAATCTGCAGCAGCTCTGAGATGAGTCAAAAAATTCCACAAGTCTACGGACGATCAACGACCTGCAAGAGGTTTCTGTGGGCTCCAGACCTGCACCCCTCGTCTTTGGGCCATCCCCTTGGGGTCAGGGTCAAAGCCTAAATCCAGCCAGAATGAATTAACATCTGAATGGGGAGGGGGGAAGAAACTGAACATTTGTTGAAGTCTTGTCAGTTCAGTGGGTCTGTTTTCACTAAGGAGGCTGTCGCGACATAGGCCTCTTCCTTGAGCCCCTCCAAAAGGTGAGAGCCTCTTGAGCACCGGGTGTCTCTGTCTGCTTAACTGACTCGACTGCTCCCTGAATGCATCAGGGCAACTTCGGTGTGACAACACAAGTGTCTGTAACACAGCCCAAAAAGGGGAGGTTACAAAATTCCATTCCTTAACTGACACCTCATTCTTGCAGTCTCTCTTCCCCCCACCTACCCCTAATCTCCTACATCCAACAATTTATCACAGCAATACTCAATTAGCCACGAAGGAGGATGCCGGCTGGCCACGTCCCGATTTCCACAGCCTATCATTCTAGGGGTTCCGTGCAATCCCAAAAGGTGGGAAATCATAGGCCAGCAGAGTAGGGACGAT